TCAATCTTGCGTCCATTTCTAAAGTAGGACTCTATGATAAACACTTTTTGTTCTTGAGAAAACACCATTTTAAACGCTTTTTAAAACGAAAATATTCAAATTGATAGCGGCGATATAGCGCTTTGACAGATGACGTTTAAGTTCATTTGATATACGCTACGCCCTACGTCCAAATTTTCAGAACCAACTTGACCACGTTTTTATTTGAACGCTCGTTATTATTAAGGTACTCAAAGTTGCTCCATTTAGACGCCAGAGAGCGCCTAATTTGGCAAATATGCAGGGTGTCCCGGTACTTGATACAAAAAAGTCGTGTACAGATAGATGAGGTCAAAATACTATCAGTTCTTCATATAAATTTTTTTCATACGGGCCTCCGTTAACAAGTTACGGGCCCCCAAAGGTGAAAATTCAAAAGTTATTTTTATTTACAGTCTCTAAACTGTTAACTTCAGCATGATGCAATTTTGATGATCGATAACAGATGCATACGGCTTGTTCTTGATGTTGTAAGTGAAACTTCATTATGCCTAGGACGCCAGGAATGGATTGTGCCCAATGGTTAACCACCCAGAATTTTTTCATAGATGACGATCGCAATCTGCCTGTATCAAAAATAAGTTCCGTGAAAAATTTGCCAATGACAATACCCTCTTGGTTCAACTCGGTAAAATTAACAGTTTAGGAAATATTTGTGATTTTATGTTACAGTACACATCAAGGGGCGCCTCCACCATTTTTAAAAAATTGTTAATTGCACTTAAATACTATGTTAGAAGCGTATGTATTTTTAAAATAAGAGTTGAGAAAATGTTACTGTCTACTAATTTATTTTTCACTAACAAAATTTGACAAATACACTTTACACATAACACAAAATAGAAGACACAAAACAAGAATAAGTTAAAATAAGTTTAAAAAATAATTTAAAAGAAAGGAAACTATCAAAATACATTTTCAATGTGTGGAGATGGATAGTGCCTATATTGAAAATGTATTTTGATAGTTTTATTTCTTTTAAATTATTTTTTTAACTTTAACTTATTGTTCTGTTTTTCTATTTTGTGTTATGTGTATTTATCAAGTTTTGTTAGTAAAACTTTCTAGCCTCTTATTTTTAAAATATGTACGGTTCTAACATAGTAATTATATCCAATTAAAAATTAAATACAAAAAATGGCGGAGGCGCCGCTCGATGTGCACTGTGACATAAAATCACAAATATTTCCTAAACTGTTAATTTTACCGTGTTGAGCCAAGAGGGTATTATCGCTGACAAATTGTTCAGGGAACTTATTTTTGATACAGGCAGATTGCGTTCGTCATCTATGCAAAAATTCTGGTATGTTAACCATTGGGCATAATCCGTCCCTGGCGTTCTGGGCATAACAAAGTTTCGCTTAAACATCAAAAACAAGCTGTACGCATGAGTTATCGATCACCAAATTTGCATCATGCTGATGTTAATGCTTTAGAGACTGTACATTAAAAGAACTTTTTAATTTTCAACTTTGAGGGCCCGTAACTTGTTAATGAAGGCCCGTATGAAAAAAATTTATATGAAGAACTGATATTATTTTGACCTCGTTTATTTATACTCGACTTTTTGTATCAAGTACCGGGACACCCTGTATATACATATTTTTTCAATTAACTATAAACTAATTTAAAGAAAATTTGGTATTCTAATACTTGACATACATGTCACTTTTGGACATAGCAACCAAAACAACTGCTTTTACATATCTCTTAAATATGTCTCCATCTGCCACATTTTTTTTATTCGTAACGTTTATTGGTCATTTCTGTAAATGTAGGTACTAGCATATCAAGTTTTATTTAACTCCAATGAAATGTTTAGAGGTTAAGACATTTGTCTAAGGACTTTGGTACCAAGTTTAACGCCATCTAGCGGCTAAAGAAGCAACTTCGGATAAAAGCGTTTAATTAAATCTTATTTTGACCCTAAAAGTTTGTGACAGTTCCATGTATTGGAATGCCCTGTATAAAGAAATATACGTTTTAGATATACCTTCCCGGAGGTGTGTGGAAGGACGGTATTGATGGCAGCCTAAGGAAGGGTAGCCGATGGATACATGACTATAGGGTCGAGGAAAATGAAGTAGCATATTTTGAACGTATGCCCGATGATACTAGATTTTGAAATATAAAATATGTGTATTATAGTTCATAAATACATGAGATTCATAATTACCGAATAAATTAATAAATATACTCACAGTGATAAATCTGTTAACATTGTTTGTTTCTATATTTTCCAGAATATCTCATAACGAGTTATTGATGATTATAAATGTCGCACCACCAATGTCGCAGATTATTTTATTTTTTCGGTAGCACCTAGCACTAAATTATATTTCGATTTGATTTCAAACCGTTTCGGAATTATTAAAATATTTCAAATTTTATTTTAGAACTGTTCAGGACCATACTTTTAAATAAATGACTATATTACCCAAAATAGAGGTTTGGAAAAACTCAAATAAGTGCTAAGGCAAAACAAAAAAACATGGAAATGACACAAGAGTACCTACAAGTGCCAAAAAGGTTGTAAAGCTCAAATCTCCAATCAACGTTTCCGCTTGAATTTTCTCCCACAAAGCCACAATTACCGTCAAACGCCATCACCCACATCAGACGATGCTGACAGAGCTTGCGACGAAACGCTACGGCACTCAATAAATGCCACACCTTTTATAAAAATCAAATTCGAGTTTCTGTAAAAAATTAAAACGAGCTCAAAGCTGCCATTGCTCACGTAGCACATGTCACGCAGGCTTTCTCCACCCCCCTGCGATGAAGATTCTAAGTGATACAAGCTCTTAAAGCTGCCATACACAATCTTCTAAAGCCTTCCATGCACAAGCACTCCAAGAAGGCAAAATAAACTCGAGCTCAAAAGCTTCCATAGAAAACTCCACTTCTCCAAACTGCGTAATAGGCGTCTGCGATGATTTGTTGCTATTGTTTTGGCGAAAACTACACCTTGTACGAAACTCTTTGAAAGATTGTTGATTTTTTTTGAAACATGGGTGAATATTGGTATGGTTCTCTTATAAGAACTTATCACCATGTAACTTAGTATATCAAACATTTCTTTTCATGTCGTTATTAAAAATAAAACAAATCAGTGGTATTTATTTATTGAGAATAAGGAGGTAGGTATAACTTATATACTTAGAACTTAGGGACAGTTACATAAAAAATTAACTTAAAGGTCAGTGTTAAATATAAACCTGTTTCCTTCAGAATGCTTTCCACTATAACGGTATCTGCATTTTCCGTAGGCACCTACAACAATAGATATAGAAAGTAATATAAACAAAAAATAGCAATTTATATGTCCATCACAACAATAAATACTCCAAAATTGACAGCTTATTTTATTTTACATGCCGTCTGTCCTTAAAATATTTGACAATAATTCGAAGGATCGAAATTATATGGATCAGGTTATCGAAGGCAAAAAATTGGCAGATAACTATGAAACTGAAAAAAAAAAAACTTGGAAATATAGAAAATTACGTGATATAATAAATGTACCTCTGTGATCAGCAGCGCTTCTAATATGACTCGGTAAAGGTGTGAAAGTATCCATAGTCGAACTATCTACCGCGTTTTCATTTGAATTAGACTGTGTAGGCCTTATAACGCCCATAAATTTACCTCGACGCAAGGCTTCGGTTCTTTCACTGCTGCAGACCTTCGTTGAATCCAAAAATTTCAATTTAGGAAGATGAAAGAGAACGTAATACCTAAAATAAACAAAAATAAATCAAACGGATATACAGGGTGTCTCACGGTGACGGCCCATTAGAATTATTTCAGAGACTACTTCGATTTGAATTTTAAAAATTTAGGATACCAGGCTTTCGGGCATGCCCTTCTCAACTAAAATAATGGCGTCCACGTACCACTTCCGGTTATACCGGAAGTCGCCATCAACTTGCTTATTTTAAATGAAAAAATTCCACAGCTATCCTCGCAAGAAATTACATTATTTTAGGTGATTACACAAAAATAGTAGATAACTTAAAAACTAGAAGAGGTAAATATTATATAGGGAACCCTGATACCGTTCGAAAGAGAATACAATTGTGTATATAGAAAAACATACAGGGTGTTCCATTAAAAAAAAAACTACTTATAAAGGTTTGAAGTTAACTAAACTCGGCATTAAATTTTTAGCACCCTGTATGCAATTAAGTCACTTTAAAAGTATGGATGGAAAGCTTAGGGGGTCTAGCTATCCCCCTATAAATATTATTGCTTTATCTTTCTTACTATAAAATACACATGGTTTGAAGCTAGTCACTGTATTTCTCCATTTGTTTTGAAAAAAAAATAAATATCTCGAAAACGGTTAATTTTAGGAATAGGGAAACTTCATAAAGGTCCACCTAAAATAACACGAATCCAAAATTGCAATAATATATAGGGTGTTCCATTTAAAATAAGCAAGTTAATGGCGACTTCCGGTATAACCGGAAGTGGTACGTGGACGTCATTATTTTAGTTGAGATGGACATAGCCAAATACCCAGTATCCCAAATTTTCGAAATTCAAATCGAAGTAGTCTGAAATAATTCTAATGGGCCGTTAGCGTGAGACACCCTGTATGTACCTACAGGGTGAACAGTTTGGTGCTTTGGGATAGGTTGAGGTTAAGTTGCTTCTGGTTTCATTTTCAATATAAAAATAGAATACCTAGTGATAGTTCTGATCTTGATTAGTTAAAAGATATGTTAATTTCAGTAAATACATATTTTAAGATTGTTTACTGTTTAACAATAATAATTTGGGACCTTAATGTACAAGAAATACTTCACTAGCCTCTTCTAAGGCAGTTAAATCTGAAGAAGATATGAAGATTTTATAATTTTTTTTTACTTATTTGTTTATTTTGGTCTGATAAATGAATTTCAATAGCAAAATTTGATAAATATTGTAAGCATATAAGTAGGTAAGTATTTACCTGTACCTCTGGTAGTCTTCTTCGTCATTTTCTTCTCCTGATAGTTTATTTGGACATGCTTTATTTCCAAGCAGGCTAAGATATATAATATTAGGACATTTCTGCGTTATCTTCAGGATTATTGACTCCAAATCACGTATCTGAAATTATACACAAGAATATAGTGCCTACTAAAATTGAATATTATAAAAAATATTGCATTTCAAAAATAAAAACATTTATTTGTCGCTTCAGAAACAAATATGTAGGTATATGTAAATATATAATTATTTTTCTCGAAAATCGACCTCACAACTGCCTTGTACTTACATTATTTTTATTTAAAGATAGTGTTTGCAAATTTGGTATATAAGGAAAGGTTAATGAATCTGATAATTGATTATTATCCAAAACCAGTTCAGTTAAGGAAGGGAATCCTTCCAGTCCTTCGAGGCTAATTAATTCATTGTAACTTAGATCAAGACTGTCTGCTTTTAACCCATACAATTTGATTAAAATTTCTGGAATTTTCTGACATTTTTGACCACTGTAACAGAGCTGAAACAAATTAAACTTTGAATAATAGGAATTTTGGCACGATTTATGAGACACCCTATATATAAGCAATGTTAATTTACGAAAGAAAATCCGTCGTTAGAATTTAGTAGAATATCTTAACTATACACTTAATAATTAAGTAAAAAATATAAAATATCTACATTTTAACTTTTGGGTCTATATACAGGGTCGGAAAGTCCCCATGGTTCATCGGCCGTTACGTAAGAGCGATAAAGAAAGTTATAGAAATCCATGCGATAGAGAAAGATGTCTACAATGAAGGTGACTATTAGACACCTTCATTATAGCCATCTTTCTCTATCGCACAGATTTCTATGACTTTCTTTATCGCTCTTACGTAACGGCCGATGAACCATGGGAACTTTCCGACCCTGTATATTTAAAAATCGTATAAGCTGCAGAAATGTGTTCCATGTTCAGTTTGAATGAATTTCTTTTGCACATTTTTTACGTATACAAAATTTTGTATAGTTACAATATCGGTAAAAAAAAACTTTCAAGCATTAATTCTTCCCATAAAAAGAAATAAAGAAAATAAAAGTAACGTGATTGTGATTCCTAAAAGCTTTTTTGCTCTAATACTGGAAGTGAAACACAGTTTTTTATCAATTACTCCAGAAAATATAGACTTCAAATGCTATATAGCGCAGTTAGTAATCATGAGCGCCGTTAACCCAGAATCCAAAGGGAATAAATTTGGAGTATCAGAATACTATCAGGTCTAAAGTAGTAAAAACCAGGGACCGGTTCAGGACACTGCATTGACACATAAAGGAAAGATATATACCTATAGTATATTCTAATTGACAATTTCGTAATTTGTAAAATGAATCACATTGGACTTAACAGCAGTGTCATTTATTATTAACAGAATTAAAGAAAATTAAGAGGACTTGTGTTTAGAAAATTAATCTTAATTCACACTTTTAACAGACTATTTCCAATTACATGTTTTGTGTTTCTTGATTTTTTTTGTGTCGCTGTTAAAAATCCTAAAATATGTAAAAGATATTCTTTAACTTTTTTGACAACTGAAATCTATCAGACTTTTCCTAATGCTGACTTTACTGGTTAGTTTCGCTCAAATTTTACATAAAGGAAAACTACGAATGTCTGCAACTTCAATGATTCTCTAGCAATTAGTAAACAACTGTTCTCTTCCGGGTTTTCAAAAATAAAAGTCAAAGAAATTGACTGTGTTGAAAGCAACCTACCTTGTTATCAAAAAAAGACACAACACTAGACAACATATTTCTTATTTTCCATAAAACTTATCTGAAGAAAAACATTTAAATGGATAGGATAGGTATACTCACTGTCTGTAATGGTAATGTTTTGAGACTGAAAATATAACAATAATAAATGTTTTGATACCCTAAGAAGGTTATCTTATCCATTTTTCAAATAAATATTTATCGAGGTAGTATAAGCGTAAATAGTACAACAGCGATAAATTAACTAAATACATAACATTCTTAGTTTAACCAAAATGCTTGTCATTATTTTAATAGTGGAGTCTGTGCCATAAAAGAAGAGATATAAGTATAAATATTATAAACATCCACAAACGTTTCGAGAAGTAGAATAAATAACATAACAAGAATTACAAAATATTATTTACATAGGTGTACCTACATCAAATTGCAAAATCGACTGATCAGGAACGTATGTAAATAAAAACATTTATTTCGTTTATAAAATTAAATACGTAATGTAATTATTTGGATAAATATGAATAATAAAATCCAATCCATATGAAAAGTCTGCTGAGATTTGAATTTAAATTTGAAACGCAACATAATTTATGTCGCAGAATAAGATATTCTGTAGTCACATAGCAACTGTTGATTATAAAATAAAAAATAATCATTTAAAAATCAGCAATCTCTGACAGTACAATTAAAATTATATAATACATATATGAGGCCCATATTAAGATGAATGATAATAATCATTTTTTTCTTATCTCAACTTGCTTGATCTGTGATTCTGTGGTCTAAGATAAATACCGAATACATAACGTATGTACAAATGTGAACGTACCACTGACAATTAATCTTCTTCTTCTATATTTTTTAAGTTTTGACAGCTTACAAAAACAAAATTTTAGTCAGATACTTCAAATCAAAAGTCGTATTTACATTTTACGTTCTTAAATTAATCAACAAATTAAATATTTATTTTATAAGATAGTGTCTTGCAAAGCAAAACTTTCTAAATATATATGATTGCTTATAATGGAGAATATCGGTGCAAATATAGAATTAGAATGGGTAGAGCACACCAATAGTGTATGGGCCCAAAAAAATTGTGATGGCATTGCAAATAGAGATATTTTACAGTCAATGTATGGTATTTTATTGCAGAATAAGGAAATTCGTATAATACCCACTACTTTAGCCTCATATAACGATGTGCAACACTTGCCAAGTTTCCAATATGATCCTATATCGCATACAGAACTTAATGAATATATAAGGAATCTTTTAACTTCTCAGTTAGAATTAGCCAGAGAAGTGTGTTCATCCACAACATTTTCTGTTGTTTTAAAACAAAGATTAATAGTACTTAACAGAATTTACCATGCTTTGTCAATGAAATATCATGACAAAGAAACAAATAGTACTCAAAATTTAGATCAATGTTCGGGAGCAAATATTTTATCATTATCTCCTCGAGAAGTTGTGTCTGGGTCACATGCCCTTTTAGAAATTGGTGTGAAAACTGGACTCAGTCTACTGTTTTCACTTTTGCAACAAAATTGGCAAGTAAGTACTATGTTGAGTATTCCAAGTCTTTGTAATTCTGTACTGGAAAGTACTGTTGATTTAATACAAAAACTGCCACCTTTGAGTCTCTCAAATGATTCCCAGTTGACAAATTTAGGCTGCAATAGCCTCGATCAAGTTTGTGGTTTCTTAAAAAATGCTATTCTAAATGAAACTGCGGCTGATAATCAAGGAAAAATACTTGCCGCCGAAATTCTTTTGGAAATAGCCTTACAAAGAGGTTCCTTGCATTATTTGTTAGAATGGATTGAAACTGCTCTGGAAGCCTCATGTAAAGGACCAAACCTCTCAAGTAAGCAGTTTAAAAGAGCCATTATACAAATAGGGGCTAAGAATAATTTGGGATTAGAGTTATTGAAAAATGAGGATGACGAAATTAGCACATACCAGGCCGGTTATTATTTGATAGAAGTTCTTGTGTCTATGGCTCTCGATTGTATTGGTACGTGTTCAGCAGCAGGTTCTTTAAGCTGTGAGTCTGACCTAGCACCATTCGAAAAAAGTGATGTTTATGTTTGGGGGAGTAATTCTTCTCATCAACTTGCCGAAGGCAATCAGGAAAAGATATTGTTACCAATAAAATCCAATATTTTTAATCAAGTGCAGCAGGTAAGTTAATTATGATGAGGTAATAACAAAATACGTAAAACTTACAGAGGTACTATATTTAAACAATTTGAACAAAAATTCATCTCTTTACAAAACTTATAAGTAAAAATACAGTTAGGTAGGTATTTTATTTGGCCCAGCAAATTTTTTGAGGTTAAGTTTTTTAAGGGCATTTTTGTAAATCCCGTCTCACGTAAATTAATGAATTTTAAATTATTGAACAGTGTCTACGTTTGTAGGTTGAAGCTGGTCACTATTGTACATTTGCCATACATTGGGATGGTCATGTCAGTGCTTGCGGGAAGGGGAGTTATGGTCGATTAGGTTTAGGCGAATCGTCTAATCAGAGCCTGCCTAAACCTATTCTTCTAGATAGTATAGTCAAAAAGCTTTCCAGTTCAAAAGGAAGCGATGGCCATACATTAGCTCTCACTGAAGATGGAATGGTTTATAGTTGGGGAGACGGAGATTATGGTAAACTGGGTCATGGAAATTGTGCGACGCACAAACAACCGGAAAGGATTACTGGACCTTTCCTGGGGAAAAATATTAAATACATTAATGCAGGTAAATTATTCTTATACTAATTCTACCTCTGTTTATCATCTATCGTTATTTTGTGTCAAGATACAGAATGTAAAAGTTCTTTTTTAATGAATTTTATAGTTCAGGGTAGGTTGAGACTTCAAGATATATTTCAGAAAATGGCGATTGCATTTCTGAATAGTCAGTTTTAATTCAGAAAATGTAAGTTACATTTCAGTTATTCCATCATTGTCCAGTAAACAGCTGGGATAATTGACTGACGAATGATCCTTACTCGTTACTAGATAATTATGGTATAATTATATGCTGGTCAGGAAATGTAGACCGGAGAGTAGTTGCTTCCGTAGATATCATCAACTGTTTCTGGAAAACACCTGGCTTGAGTGAAAAAAGACTTATGAAAAATGTAAATTATAGGATACAGACACAGTGCAGCAATTACCGAGGACGGGTTATTGTACACCTGGGGCGAAGGTGATCACGGTCGTCTGGGTCATGGAGACACCAACGAACGTCATATTCCCACCCAAGTAGCAGACCTAACCGATGTAGGATCGGTAGCTTGTGGTAGTTCACACACTTTAGTCGTTTCGAGGGATGGAAAAACGGTTTGGTCTTTCGGATCAGGGGAAAATGGTAAACTAGGCCATGGAGAAATCGCTAAAGTTTATAGACCAAAAGTGATCGAGGCCTTACAGGGACTCGTTATCCAAAAAGTTTGTGCTGGCACTTCGTTTTCCATGGCTTTAACTACAATGGGACATGTAATATAGTTTTAATTTAATTTGAATTTCCCTAACGAGTTGTCTTGCATAGGTTTATACTTGGGGGAGTGGGCCAATTCTTGGTACCGGCTCGGCGGATGCTATATGGCTCCAACCGTTACTTTTAGATGATCTCACGCCCTATAGGATAGTCGATATATCTGCAGGTGACACCCATTGCCTTGCTTTGACCGATGAAAACGTCGTGTTTGCTTGGGGTACAAATAGTATGGGGCAGTGTGGCCAAGGTCATACCTCGAGCCCAATAATGCGCCCTTTAAAAGTTATCGGATTAGACGGGATTCCTATTAGGCAAATTAGTGCGGGTACGTAAAAGTTTCCCATTATCCCGGTCAGTCTTGTATGGATCGTCCCGGTATGGAGCAGCGGTATCTCAGAAACTACTAGAGATAGGAAAGAACCGTTGACAAATTTTGGTGCTTGACTTTTGAGTTATATTAAAAGTTTGATACTTTAATTTCTTTGTGTAGTTTCTTTTAATATTTTCTGTCTGAAATTTTCTGTCTCTGTTTGCCGTCTGAAATTTGAATTTGTTTTATGAAAACATGCTTTTAATTTTGAACGTTTAAGTATTGTTTTAGCAAAATATGGATATAGTTCCTGAGGTATCTTACAAATATCGTTATTTAATCTGTGAAAAAAACGTGAAATGGTGATAAAATTGTAACATAAGAATTTATTTGAATATTGTTGAGTAGTTTCCTTCTGCTTTACTATGTTGTGTACATAATTGTAAGTAATGAATATTTAAATTATCGAAAAAATGTATTTGCCGAGATTACTATTAAATATTAATGAGGTTATACTATAACAAGTTTTTGAATAAACATTTATATTTTATGGGTAGGACAATGTCGTTAGTCTTCCCTATCTTTAGTAATTTCTAATAATCCCACATTCCCTTCAAAAATGAAACGATCTGTACAATTCAGTATTATTGCTGTGATAATAATATTTGGATTTCTAGGAACCTCCCATTCCTTAGCATGGACGTCAAAACCCAAGGAAAATCAGTACATCACAAAACACAGACCTTTCTGCCTGGATTTACATGATAAAACTTTTGAATTACTGAAAATATTTCTAGAAAAGTACACCACTTCGTTCACATATAATTCTCCACCTTTACCATTTGCATCACCCGATGAACATAAGAGATTCGTTCTGTGTTGTTTGAAGCTGCTTTATATTCATTTAAATATTTGTATCAGCGGCAACTTGGACACCAAAGTGTTGAAACAACATTCTAAAGAACTACGGATTCTTCTTTTTCGGTAATTGTTCTTGTAAAAAAAGTAAATGGCGGACCGCATTTTATATTACGTACTTTTCAGTCTTATCGATAAAGATGCACCGTTAGAAGTCCACAATTCGGTACGAGAAGTCCTTAACACGGGAGCAGCTCTGCTGTTGCCGCCGCTTGTGGAACGGGTGGAATTTTTACATTTATACCTGTCGAACGGCAAAAACTTGTCGGTGGGCCAACAGATGCTGTTAGGCATTATTTTACATAGTTTGGAAGAACCGGTACTTACAGCCGCTCTCTTAGGATACAGCAGCAGTCCTGAGAAGCTAAAACTGCAAGAGATACAACTTACTAGTACTCTGATGAAGACTCTATTGCAGTCTTTTTGTAAAAACACGGTAAGTATATTCGTAATAGAACTTAAACGAAATATGAAATATATAAAAGCGGTAAAGGTTTGACTGAGAAGCGTGAGTTCAACGAATATAGTTTGGTGTCGAATTGTCACCGATGATGAAACTTGGGTACATTATATGCTAGAAATGAAGCGAAAGTCAAAACAACGGATTTTTTCGGGTGAATTTGCTCCGAAAAAGGCAAAGACGGTCCCATCGGCTGGAAAGGTGATAGCCATGATTTTTTAGGATTCAAGGCGAATAGTCCTCCTGAACTTCCTGCAGAACGGAAGAAGGATCACAGAGCAGTACTACACTGAATTATTTGACCGATTTGATAAGAAATTGAAGGAGAGCCCCATTTGGCTAAGAAAAAGGTGCTGTTTCACCGCGAAACGCACCAGGATAACAGTAACAGTCAAATTGCATGCACTGCACTACGAATTGTTGCCACACCCACCGTACTCGCTCAACATTATGAAAAGAAAGACTTGCGTTTTCGTTGCTTATTTATACTTTTCTCCTATTTTTCTACAATTCATTTTCAAAATAATAAGTTTTTTTTTTAAGTGATTAGAAAACATACGGTTAACGGTTAACTTAATTAATATTTTTAGGAAGAAACCCTGAGTACTATTTGGAACCACGTGTCTGCCAATACAAAATGCAAATGGCAAAACCAAGAGAATTTAAAGACATACAATCTTCAGAGTTTGCTGTCGTCCCTACAGAATCACATGCTGGCATATTATACGATATCGTCTGATAACGTATATAGTTTCAGCGCCAAAGATCTTCTTGGAACTCACTTTTCGTCCATTGTCAATTTTGCGACTAAAATTTTGAATAAGGCCGCCAATATCCTTCTTGTGTACCCTACGTCTTTAGAACTGCTTTATAACGTTTTGCTGGATTCGGCCGCTGGGGCCATGCTTTTCAAAATGTTGAACTCATTGTTCCTAATGCCTATGGGTTATGTAAAAACTTTATATCCTTTAATTTTGGAGCTGATGGAGCCTTTGAATAAGTTTAATCAACTGTTGCCTGCCGAATTACTCTCGGATGATGAAAAAGCATCGAGTAAGTATATTTACACAATTTATTAATAATATTGAAATTTAAATAGTTCAGGTTTGACTTTCTACAAGACTTTCCACCAAAAGTATATTTTATTTCATATACTTGTCATCTATTATTTATATACTGAGCAAATTAATATTTTACATTGCAAAATTATAATTTATGTGGCAAATATCATGGACATTTAATTACAGGCCATTTTTTTTTTTAAATAAAGTTGCTTCATTTTGTTGCAGGGTCCGAAACACCAACACTAGATCAGTTAACGGAACGGTCATGGATGTGGATAGTCGATATGCAGAAAACTTGTTCTTTGCTCATGGGTTACTGCCTGGGAGGCATGTTAACGGGAAACGCTCCTTCGCAAGAAGAAATTCTGTGCCGTCACTGGCTGTCCAACGAAATTCTTTCGTACGGTATAGAAAACGAAGAAGTTGAACTGAAGGCCGTGCTAGATGTGCCCTTTTTAGCGTCTTCGAACATATTCGACTCGGTATACGTGACTTTAGATAAACTGCCTGAAGAAGAACAGAATATTGTTAAACTCCTCTTCTCTATTCCATATAAGCAGTCTGACGAGGCGTGCTCTTCGTCGGAAGACAGTTTCAATTGTAACAACAAATTTTTCGAGAAACTAATGGAGAACATCGAAACTGACACTTGGGAGTTTGACGAGGACGAGAAAAAAATGTTGGAAATGGTAATGAAATGTTTCTTGATGATGGTATTGAAACAGACAGGTCTGCTTCAGAAAACTCCCGCACATCCGGCCGTCAAAGAAGTGTTTAAGTACGTTTTGAATTTGAGACATAGACTGCTGAACTTAAAATACCTCTCGAAGTACCAACAAAGCGATATTATCGTGGAAAATGAGAAGGACTTTGATTCTGTTAAACCGGAGGATAAATCGGAAAATGTTGCAAATGGTGAAGAATTCAATTTTGGAGACATGTGTCGGGATATAATTCAGAGGTGCCTGTTTCTTATTATATTCGTGAAAGGTAAGTATCGTGAAAACCCTGCATGTTTGTGAATGCAATTCAATTTTTTCAACGTCTTGTAGGTGTAGATGTAGACGTATCGGCTCTATGTAACAGTCCTGATGACGAAGTTTGCTTGGAAAAAGCTTACGTAGACTTTTATAAAAACAGCCAAAGCGTAGTTTTATACAGAGATCTCAAATATATATGCTGCTCTTATCTGAACTTCGTCATAAATGAACCGGCCGAAAAGATGCAGTCGATCACGAACAGGTCTACCATGGACGGTTGGAGCACTGATCTGAAAATAATATACAAGGCCCTTTTGTCGCAAAAGGCTCGCGCCATTAGCCGGTTCCACAGCTTCGATCAGATCTTGTTCCACTTGATTACGCGAGAGCCTTCTTCTACTGTTTCAAACTGCATCCAACAGCAACTGTTACAAGGTTGTTTCGGTTTGTTCAACGTAACGGGCGAAAATATGTACACGCAACTGCAACATTACCTGGAAGGTATCCGAGCGTCGCCGATTGATATCCAAGAAAAAATTAGGACCGCCGTTCACAGTATATACGAATTTCTCATCCAATCAGTGAAAAAGCAAATAGTGAACAATTCCAACAATAAGCAATTATTACTGACTGTAGTCTTCTCTCTCAGCACCAACTATAAATCGAACGATCTGGGCTTGGTTATTAACAACGACCTCCTGCATGTCTTATCGGAGATCGTAAATATGAACGCAACTAGCCCTTTGAGCAAAACCGAGATACTTAATGACGCCGCGTTGAGACTAATACATATTATTTCCGTAACGTCTTGCTTGAACGCCAAAAAAATTGACCTGGCCACGCTTGAGAACGTCTTAAATATTCTACACAGTCTCTTCATTAAAATACTGGAAGACTTTGATGAAAACTGCCAAAACTTTTCTAGTCCTCAAAGCAGTCACATCTTGATTAACAACGGAAGACAATTGGGCGATTTTCTTCTGTTCCTAAGAACTATTTCATCCAGTCAAATTATACAGAAATTACTAGCATCCAAAAAGTGGATATTCGCCCTCTTAGTGATATTAGACAGTTCCAATACATGCGCAACGTATTCGACTCAGTTGAAAGTCCTGAGGCCTAAACTACTCATCCTACAACTTCTACAAGCTATTCTCCCCGGACTGCAAGCCGTGCACATAGACGACGATCTCCGAAAATACATTATTAACAAACTATTTATTCAACTCGGCCAGGAAATGTGGAACATACCCAATCCGTCCGAAAAACCCATCTCCGACACGAAATTTAAAAACGTACGCCCTACCGACACGTCAGTAAGAGAGGATGAAGGCAACATACCGATCCACGACATGGGCTTCGACGCGGAAAAATGCTATAATTGTTCCATCGAAGGAAGTTTAACTCTTGTGCACGGAACGGGAGGAAGGGGTTACGGGTTAGGCCTCCAGGTTATCAAATCTGGTTGTTACCAGTGGAAGATTTTAATCGTGAAGGAGAATAGGGGTAACGAGGGTACCTGCATCGGAGTGTCGAAGTATCCCGTTAAAGATTTCAGTCACAGATCGACGAGTGATATGTGGTTGTACAGGGCATACAGCGGTAGCTTGTACCATAACGGGGAACGCGACATGAGTTTTCAGAGCTACACTCAAGGTAAGATCTACAATTTTTTATTTCTAAGATCCTTTTAGCGTTTGAAAACGGCGTTTTTAGAAGACATCGGTTCCAATCTTTTAGAGGCGCAACTTGGGTGACAAAACTTGATTCGAACATTTTCAATTTTCTGTTTATATTCGTGGAGAACTAACATTTCAAACAGCCCATGCAGGCTCCACCCAGCGTTAGATCGCCGTAGCTCATTTTATAAACTTAGGACTGCGAAGCCGAAGGTCCAGGCTTCGAATCGTGGGCAGGTCGCATTTTTTCTTTTTTTTTATTTGGAAAATGTTATTTATTTACCAACCCACAGAGAATACACCGTTGAGCGGAAAGGTCAAGTCCGCGTCAGCGGACTTGCCTACCTTTCTAGTAATATTAATTAAAATACGCAAAATGCAAAAATGAACCCATTACATTTACCCCTTGTATTATTTACTCACAGACCTTATTTAGTTGCCTTTACTATATTTTTTTATTATTTAAGGTGATTACATCACGGTAATATTGGATATGGACGCTAAGACCCTCAGTTTTGGTAAAAACGGGGAAGAGCCGAGGGTTGCCTTCGAAAACATTGAAGCGAGTGAACTGTACCCTTGCGTAATGTTCTACAGTACTAACCCCGGCGAGAAAGTAAAAATAACGGACATGAAAGTGCACGGAACTCAAAAAGATTTACTACCTGGTGAACCAGAGTTGGCTCCTTTACACGCTGTTCTGTCCGAGGCTTATATATCGGTAATTAGAAGACTGCATCATTCCGTAACATGGACTGAAGATGTAAATACGGCTTTATTCACAAGGTTAGAAAAAATTGAAACGTTATTCCCAATCGTAGAGACACACAACATGGACAACACTTCCGAATTAAAACTGAATAAAACGTACAAGTTAAAGTGTGATATAAGTGTTCCCGAATTATGTGTTAACGTTTGGCCTTGTCTGATTGTAATTGGAGGCCTGGACCGTGGTCTCCGAATGGGCGGTTACTGTAAGCATAAAAATACTGGACAGAGAGCCGTAGCTTTGGGTATTCTCAAAAAAGGGATAACCACAGTAAACGTCCAGTGGGAAAACGACGGAAGTGTTTCAGACGTGGCATTATCTAATTTGGAATTCATAGAACCGGTGCCTTTCGATTGCACAAAGTTCAATGCGGTAACACCAAAAATATTATTACAAATCGCCAGACTGAGCGGTATTACCAATGAAACGTCCTTTCCTACGTATGACCTCACCGATGACGAGCAACTGTTATTAAAGCAACATATTCTCAAAAGCGAGAACGGCAATTCGTTGGATTCTAAAAATATCCGTTGCAGCTCCGATTCTCAGATACACGATCAGTACATAACCCACGAGAAACCTAAAACTGTGGAGTCTTTAACGAATGAGATGGTTTCGAGTATTATGGGTGAAGTGAAGAGGTTAAGTACCGAAAAAATCGTGGCGTCTCAGAGTGAATCCACTATAAAAGAAACAAATGAGTTGCACAACAAACAAGAAGTCATTACCTCGGAAACGAAAATGTTGAGGAAGAAACTCTTAGACTTAGAAGGGGAATGCTTGCAGTTGGCGTTTTTGCAGTTCGCAGCTTTAAAAGTGTTGGGAATCTTCCTCATTTCATCGCCTTTAACGGAATCGTTATTAATCAATAATAAGGAATCAAAGACTGAAGATATTGATTGTATCAGGGAAATAATGCACTCTATAGTAGACAAAAGTATAGACCAGTGCAAACTGAGGAAGATTGTCAGCATATCAGAAATGGAAAGGGCCCAAACCGTGTTGCACCTAAGCTACATTAAAAGTAGGACGTCTGAAAGCACGGAAAATTGTCTGTTTAATAATGGTTACTATTTGGAGAGAAACGGTACTGATTTCCTAACAGAAACTTTGACTGCTGATACTAATTACAGCTCCAGTACAGATGTTCGCTCTAGACATCACAACGTAAAACCAAATAGTTCTAGTTCCCGCCCAACATTCACCCTTCAAAGTCCTTCTGCCACTTACGGATCACCTTTTACTGCAGCATTAGGTAAGTCAGTTGTTTCATTTTTTTTTTTTCGGGTCTGTTTCTGGGGTGTCAGCCATGCCTGTATGCATTAAAAAAAAGGTTCATTATAGAATTGACCTTTATCGTTGATCGGCTATGCAGTGTTGCAAATGTTACATGGAACTCTTAAACTTCAACTTACAAAGAAAAAATTAAATTAATTTGTACCATTTCTTTTATCCAATCTGCGTATAAAATTTTTGTCGCATGTGCACTTTCATGTCACAAAAAATACACTTTTAACGTATCTACGATTTCACCATTCTTTTAAACTGCCATGTTTGAGATGAATTCGCAAGAAATAGTGATTACACACATTTTAAGGTACCTAAAAGAACAACACTGTCCATGAAAATAACAAATCGGTACAAATACATCAACATATTTTGATTGCCTCCATGCGTTTACACCCCAGAAACAGACATATTTTTGTGTAATACCCACTATTGTCTACCTTATTTCTCTTCAAGAGGCCTCTTGTATCCAGTTGCCCCAGAGTTGGATGTCCTCCTTCTGTGAATCAGAAGATAGCATTTGGAGCAATCGAAACACTCACCCACCCCCCATCGCAGTTCCTCTATTAGAGATGGGTTTCACATTGAAACACATCCTCAAAGCAATCTCGGAAACTAAGAGTTCAGGCGAGTTCACCTCTCACACCGTTAATATGCTCGCCACGTGGATGTTGGAGCACCCCTCTTTAGACATTAGTGATGACGAGGGAACTTCGGACAGATATAATTTGTTCAGGATTTTAGATCGATCGCAGAATCTCGTTAGGCAGCAGAGCTTAGACAGCACCGAAATTAAGTGTGGCCATCGGCGTGGACTAAATCTGAGAGGGAGGGTTTGTTCCGATTTGAGAAATAGGATTGGCCAAGTAGACAGAGTGTTACAAGATACAGTAAGAGAAAGGCAACATGTAAGGGGGGAAGGGCATCATTTGTTGAGAAATTTTTCCCGGGAAGGTTCTAGCAGTGAGATTAATATACTCGATTCGAATGACAGTGATCAAAGAGAGCAAATTCCGTCTACTTACATCAGTGTCGAAAATAACGGCAGCATCTGCCCTTATTGTCAACATTCGACCCCGTTCTTGGACTCGCATATGACCATCTACCACCCTGGTTGTGGTACGATGTGGGGACCAGGCGTATGCGGTTATTGCACGGACGGTTTCTACATTCTGTGTTACAAGTGCAAGAACAAGTATTTTCAGAAGGGTGTCGGTAACAGTTCTCTTCACGTTCGAGCACCTGATATAATATATGACGAAGATGATATGACGGAGGCAGATGTGCAATCTTTAAAGTTTAATATGCCCAATTATGAAGATATAGATAAAATTAAATTTTACTTGGGCATAACGGATAAAGAATTTAGAGTGAATAGTATAAATTTGGAGAAATTTGACCCGTTGGGAATGGACGCCGTTCCATCGGTGGTAAACGATTGTGGAAATATTAATACGACTGAAAAAAGGTAAGTCTGGTACTATTTGGTGTTGCGCTAAAATAGATATTGCCCTTAATATGCAATAGATTTTCTATAATTTTTTATTGAATTGGAAAAATCGAAAAGTCCCGTCTATTTAAAGTCTGATATTTATTAAACTGTTTTTATTTATACAGACCCTTCAAATCCACGTGACCAATAATTTTGTTTTGAATAGTAATTTTATTTTCTTCAATTTGGAAATTAGATTTCAGTAAAATTTCAGTAAAACACAAAGATCAAGACTACATTAAAACAACATTCTGTTTCAACAAATCAGCGATCGCATTATCTCAAGCGTAGATGTAACGGTTTGTCATTGTTTGTTGTGAACGAATCATTAATATTGGCAACGTTAAGATATAGGGCTTTTCAGTTGGCAGTACCAATCTGCAATGTTGGGTTGCCTAAGCTCAGCATCACATGGCTTGTAAACATTTATGATGGCTCTATATTTGACTCAATTGAGTAAAACTCAATAAATTGTTTAAAAAATTGGCGCTTAAGATATACAGGGTGTTTCATAATGATGTGCAAATATTTTAAGAAGGTGTTTATAAAGTAATTTTGGGGGGGTACTTCCAATACATTTTTTTAATTTGAGCCCCCCCTTCTGAGAAAATATTCAAATCTCAAAATGGCCGAAAAAATTAGCTTTCATTTTTTTTTATTAAATTTTTAGTTCATATTCACTTAGCTTTTCCTATTGAAAAAAAAAAAGAATTTTTGCAAAAAATGCGTCAAAAATGACGTTATTGGTAACTCTTATACTCATTCATTATGCGTACCTAATCGGCAAGGCAAAATTATTTATTTTTTTGCTCGTAAACCTTTAAGTATACGAAAAAATGGGAAGCGTAAAAAAAGTTTCTAAATGAAATGTAGTATTAAAAGCTATTTTTCTTGTTGGAATTGGCTAACGTAGAAAAAAGTTGTGAGAGAAATAAAACCAAGGGGTGCTAATTTCTTGCATTCAGACATAAACCAGAAAAAAAAAGACCACCAAAAAACACCATTCAACTAGTTGTTAACGTGTACCTACCAAAATTCAAATTTCTAAGTTTAATCGTTTTCGTGAAAAAAAATAAGTTAATTTTTTCGATTTTGCGATTTGAATATTTTTCCGAATATAACTAAAATTTATTTTATTGAACTTCTATTAAAAAGTCATTAATGATTCCCAAAATTGGGTGACCAGTTTTGTTTTCTCCAATTTCTTTCCCAATTTGTCAGGTCTAAATTTATAAAACGTAAAACGTGTAAAGTACGTATCATCTGGGAAAATACTTTATTAATAGATTGCTTCAAAAAAAAAAGCGAAAACGATGTTATTTTGACCAAAATTGTGAAAAATGTAAGAAAAGTAGTTGTTTATTTTGAAATTTATTTTCATATAATATTTGTAATAAATAAATATAATATAAATAAGAATTAAATAGCTTTTCTTTATAACAGTTTTTGAAATTTTGATATTTTCGAGCTTTTCTGAAAAAAAAAAAACAAAAATGTATATGAGATTGCACTGTAAAATAATTTCTTTTTAAAAATATGTATTTTATTATTAGTTTTCGTATTTTTATTTCAAAATCTTAAAGCTGTTTTACTCACAACAGTTTATCGAACAATATATTGAACAAGTTGACCTTCAATTTATTTTATGAAGTGTGAAACAGAAATTGGAGTACAATTTATTGACTTCAATAAATTGAACAAGAAATTGGGGATTTAGAACATGTCCTAATTTATTGGTCAATTTTGGGGATATCTAGTTACATTTTATATTTTTTTTAAATGCCAATTCAATTATGATAATTTGAGCCAATTTCAGTTGACGAACAAAGAAGCTCGAGGTTGGCGTCAATGAAATTGGACAATAAATTGTTATAAATGTTCAAATGTGTAAAGCAGTCATCAATAAATTGTGAAATTAAATCATTGAAAAATAAATTGTCAATTTGTTGTAAAATAAATTGTTATGTGTAAAACAGGTTTGTTTTTTTTATAGAATTATGTCTTCGTTGCAAAAAGTAGGCATGCAAAAGTTATCTAACCTAAAAAAAATTTTAACTGATAGGGGAAACAGCTATTATATGGGTTATTTGCTCCAACTAGCTTTGAATTATACCAGCAATATCCAGTAAACTACTAGTAATGAATAATTATCTAAAACAAAAATTGCCTGATTATTACTATCACAAAAATACATACCTGGCATATTAAAATTATTAAATAATGTAATCTTTCGACGATATCTTGTATACTTGTTCTCACATCGCCTTTGACAAAGACACATAAAAATAGTCAGGATAGAACGACAATGAGTCCAGATATTTTTAGTTCGGATATTTCTTTAATTTATTTGAATTAACACTTTTAAAATAAAATAATTGCACTATACATTTGATGCAGTCCTCCATATGATTCTCGCTATCTCAAGCATTTTTGTTGACTTTTAAAATTCTGGTAGAATAATTAATATGAGACGTTAATATTCAAACAAGTAAGTCTTCATTGCCCTCATATATTCACATAGTAAACAGTGGTATTTGATTTTTATATCATTTGTATTCCTTCTTCTCGTTCTAGGTTTGTCGGAAGCCAGGCATTACTTTTGAATACATCTTTAGACAGGATTTTAGCATTGAAAAATCTGACGTCATCCCTCCATATTCTATTATCAAGGATAATCGTACTAAAGTTCTTGTGCATACTCTCATCAAATACAAACTGTGCGGATTTAATAACGTGCTTAGAACTCATAGGTCTTTCCGACATAAGAAAAATCGTAAGACTGATGACCCTAACAGCGATGAACCGTGTTGAAGTCGGTAACGTTCAGATTTTGCAAAATTTCTCAAACATCCATTACCCAAAAATGATTTCCGCCACAAATACGACCCGAGCAACGAAAGCCTCTCTCAACTACTTGAGCATGTGCATAGCGGCTTTAGCACAGTGCGAGGTGGAATCCTCAAACATGATAGTGAATATTTGTACGAAGGACCTTGTGATGTCGGCATGCGGCGTAGCTGTGCCGAAATCGGGTTTCGTGGTGACGCAAGCCTTGGTCAATATTCTCTCCATCCATGGAGGATGTTCTCTTATAGATTCATCCAAAGAAATACCTCTGGGTCATCAGACGGATAGAAACAATATAGGTCCCTTGACACTCGTTAATGCGTTATCAGCTTACATTTTGTCTCAGAAAGTGGATCAGATTAATAAAGAATGGGCTGCACACCAGATATATAAATCTCTGGCAACTAAGATTCAAATCATGGCAGGCGTGAACTTGGACCAAACTAATTTTGCTGATTTGTCCGGTACACTACCAATGCAAAGTCTTACGTACGTAGACGGACACGATAACAGAGTGTCTACCTTGGCTTGGCTCGACAGATCTGGATCACTCGCCTCTGCGGGATATGACGGCACAGTTAGACTGTGGACTGTTGAACCCTCGAAACAACCTATTTTAGAATCAACGTTAGTATTTCACACCTCTGCGGATTTCTTTGGAAATGATTTACAAGGCAGACTGATCGGCCACATGAAGTGGTCACCGACGGGCGAATATATCGCGGCGGCTTTGGATAATTTCGTAAACATCTGGCATTTGAAGAAATCCGAACAGTTTAGCAGTTATAGTGATCGGTTTATAGACGATCAAAAAGAATTTATAACGTCGATGACGTGGCCAAGAAATTACAATGGATGCAAACACAGTGAAGACTATTTGCTAATTGGAAAAATCAATGGTTCCGTTGTGATGGTTACCCTTTATGAAGAAACGAGACGCGTCGAACTATTGCAGCATTGTTGTTCACCTCGTGGTAAGTTAGTTTTTACTTTTCTATACGCAATGACTCATTCAAGGTTGTTCGCTGTGGACATCTCAAAAATTATAAAAAGTACAAAGTTAAATAAATTAAAGAAATTGTACTGCAGTCAGTAATCTTGATGATTTTTCCTAACTTTTAACTAACGTGGAGGTGCTAGAAATATATACGTCCAGTTCAAGAATGCGCGCGCGGGCAAATGGCGCACAAACACAGCCGCACCGGGCGACCGGCCATAAATTTCAGTTGTTGACAAATTGCCTAGTATTTTCCATCATTATAATAAAATTAATAATTAAAATATGTTGTTGGCCAAATGAACAGATAATAGAAATTTTTTACACATTATATACGAATTATTATTATTTTTTACCTTTGAAACTCATTAAATTTTATTGCTAGGCGTTGTTATACATGTGCAACTGACTTCGAAAATACTATACCAATGGACAACTTTTTTGTTTTTTTATGAACATCACTTAATTTTCACATTTTGGATAGCCCTTTTTATTCTCTTTACACAGGTGATTCAATTTCTAGGTAAAAGGAGGCTATAGTGAATCAGAATTAAAGTTTAAGGAAATTTTGCATAAATTCCCAAACGGCGCCTTTATGAAGCCAAAAATAGTTGAAAAAATTAAAAATGTTTACACTGAAACAAAAAGGGCTCTAATTTGCTCCTCCCAGTTATATCTTGACTGTTTTTTTTAATTTTCTTCTGTAAATTTTGATGCAGATATTCTTGATAAAAATTGTTGTATGTTGAAATATTGACATTAAAAAGAGATTTTATTAATTTAAAATTTCAGATAGCTATGATATGGATAATTACTTGATCCGTTTGCTTTTAGCTGTCATGAATATGGACTGGCACCATGAAGATGGCCCTTTCGCAATTGGTTATCTCGACGGTACTATTAAACTGGGTTGGGCGCACAGTGAAAGTAACGTAATTACACTAAAGGCGCACGAAAGTGCCGTTTCGTCTTTATCGTGGGATCCCAGAGGTATATTTCTTGCTACCATCTCGATTGACCTGACCTGCAAAATTTGGAACTTAGACGATGATAAATTAGTTCACGTTCATACCCTTGCGCAAACCTACGAACCTATTAGTTTAACTTGGTCACCGCTTGTCGGTAGTAGCAACGAAGCGCTATTGCTGGCCGTGGGAAGTAATTTTGGAACCGTAAATGTTTGGACGATACCAAAGGAAAACGAAGAAAATATTGTCCCAAAACTTATAATGAATTCTCAAGGTCACGCGTACAACAGTGTTACGAGTATAACTATAGATAGTACGGGATTATTTCTTGCAAGTGGTTGTTTAAAAGGACCCAGTGGTGTGGTTAACATATGGTCCCTTCACGACGGTAGTTTGGTACAAACTGTTGCTGGAAGCGGGGGTATAAACGCTTCTGGTATGTGTTGGTTAAGTACTTCTAATGCTTTAGCAATCGGATTTTCACGATCGAAATCTATATGCGTTTTGAATTGTTCCGTACAAGACCTTTCTAAAAACCTACCTTTAGCCGCCGTAAGGTGCTCCTTGATCAGAAAAGGTATTAGGGACTTAAAATCGGTACCGTTCTTTAAATTGTTTGTGACTCTCTTACCGAATATCCTTCTGGAGCAATATAATACGGAAAAAATGGCGGTTCAAACAGGTACCCACTTGATGCACTCGATGTACCTTAAAAGTTTGGCATCTCTAGCAATTCTGCTGGAACTCGATAAAATAGTTTGTTACAAATTATGCCCCTTCAACAATAAGGGTCAATCGGAGCTTGTCCCGGAATACCTTTGGCTTCATACTTTCAGTCTGGCCAACCAAATGGCCGACAGTTTAATAAAAAGAACCAAGTCGCTGGAAATTGTTAGTTTAAACCACATACAAGGCGTTGTGAAGTGTCCCGATAACGTTTTTTGGACAATGAAACAAGACCAGCAAATTATGCAGTGGGTCTCCCAACGACCTCAAGATTGGCAGATTGGGGGCAAGTGCAGGGCATTTTTATGGGGTTCCGATAGACACGGACAATTGGCAGAATTAGGATACAGCTCGTCGGTACCGACGCACGTAGAATCGTTTTCAGCGTCTAGAAAGATTGTATGCGGACAAAATTGTACTTTTGTGATCGAAGCGAACGGAACCGTGCTGGCCTGCGGAGAAGGAAGTTACGGAAGGCTCGGGCAGGGCAATTCTGATGATTTACACACGTTAAGTGTTATATCGAGTCTGCAAGGGTTCGTCATTATAGATTTGGCTACCTCGGTGGGCTCCGACGGACACAGCTTGGCACTCGCGGAAAGCGGAGAAGTATTTTCATGGGGAGATGGAGATTATGGTATGTATTATGTGTAAATGTAGTGTTTTGCTTGCAGATGAATGTACATGTAAAATATTTGTTTTATTTTGATAATACGTGTAGCCCACACAAAAAGGTATAATTAGCGCCAATTTCCCTCGATACCCATTATTTTTGTACACAATATTTATCAAAAGAGGAAGGACAGTGGTACAAGTTTTACCTTTAACCATCAAGGCTGAGAAAGATACAATCCTGGTTTAAATGTTTATTTTGTTAATAGCTCGACGTTAAAAGGGTAATAATAATTAAACAAGACGAGTTTAAATTAAGAAATTTTATGAAAATAATATGCTTCCTTTTCTGCGATAAATCTTATAGTTGTGTAAACGACAGGCAACTTACTTGAAAATTTAGTTTCTCTTAGAGCTATACAAATTTGTGTAACCGACAACGACTAACATTGGTAAAAGAATTAAATTCTTTAATGCTATAAATTAATTCTGGATGTTTAAAATTGTGTAAAAATTTACAATTTGTTATGCGATCAAGAACGCATTGTGACGTCATGCAACCGAGAACGCAACCTGCTTCTTGTCCATCTGCCATCTAGCCTACAATTCCCACGCGAACGAAACGGAACCTAACTTATAAATTGATCGCACTAAAGACGTCACAAATTAACACGGTAGCAAAAACCGCTTTCAAACCTTTATTTTGCGCGCCAAAATTTAGTAATTAATTAAGAGCATCTAAGAGATTAAGTGAATCCTTTCATTTTGTTTACCTTGAACTAGTATACCATCTTTTTCGCAGAATTAAGGAAGTTCTTTAGTCCAAATTGAAAATATGTGAGGTCAGGTTTATGCCAAATACGAAATAACTAACATTGTCTACAAATGAATACAAAATGATCCATATTTTTTAAATTATCACCCTAAAAAATCGAAAAACATCGGCTAAGTAACCGTTTATAACGTAATGTTCTTCTTTTAGGAAAATTGGGTCACGGTAACAGTGACAGGCAGAGACGCCCTAGACAGATCGAAGCGCTGCAGAACGAGGAAGTGATACAGGTCGCTTGCGGTTTTAAACACAGTGCAGTCGTTACCAGCGATGGCAAATTGTTCACATTTGGAAATGGCGATTACGGCAGACTCGGATTGGGGTCAACTTCAAACAAGAAAGTTCCTGAAAGAGTAACCTCGCTTGATGGCTTTAAAATCGGACAAGTGGCTTGCGGTTTAAACCATACGGCTTGTATGTCAGTGGACGGGATGAACGTATGGACCTTCGGAGAAGGCGATTATGGGAAATTGGGACTGGGACATACTGCGACCAAGTCTATACCGCAGTTAGTTGAAACTATGTGCAACATTGGCATAAAAAAGGTACATTTTTTTTATCAACTGTGCTAATTGATGTTATTTTTGTCGGTTTTCAGGTAGGTTGTGGCACTAACCTTACGGTATTCCTTACGAAAAGCGGAAAAATATTCGTTTGCGGCGTCGACCGAGTTCCTTGGCAGAGTCATTTGCGAGAACGCACCGATTACCGCCCTCAGCAGTTGATGGGGTTAGTCGACTATTTCATCGAAGATTTTGCCGTGGGAACAGAACACGTGCTATTTCTCACTTCTTGCGGTAAAGTTTTCGGATGGGGTATGAACACCGAAAGTCAATTGGGCCTACCGCACGTTTCTTTGGTACGAGAACCAGAAATTATTATGGAGTTGTCCGACAAAGGCGTCAAACAGATCTCTACGGGTAGGACGCACAGTGCTGCTTGGACTGCGTCGCCTTTGCCTTTGAGGATACCGGGTGTGACGTGTTCTTTAAGTTTTGGACTTCCGCAAGAAATTCCTCCGCAATTCGATCACTTACAGGGTCTTTCCGTCCCATCTATCCAATCGAGACTTAAGTTACTGTACAACTTTTCAGATAAATTGTATTCGTGTTGGACTCTTATGCCTCTGAGCGACGAACAAATCGACATGAAGATTCCCCCATTGGAAGGACTTATATCGCCAAAATTACGATATCTTTTAGCTCCGAGGGTTTACACTTTACCTTTCGTCAGGTGCATTGGGAAGACGATGATTCAAGGGAAAAATTACGGACCGCAAATTATCGTGAAGAGAATATCTCAAGAAGGTAACAACGCAAGATATCACTAGTCATACATTCTATTTCTAAAGGTTTTAGGTCAAAAATGTAAACCTATATTTGTGCAAATAGCGAGGCAAGTAGTTGACTTAAAACCTCAAGAGTTACGATTACCTTCTAGGGCTTGGAAAGTGAAATTGTTAGGGGAGGGGGCGGATGACGCCGGAGGCGTTTTCGACGATACCATCACGGAAATGTGCCAAGAAATAACTACCGGTGTGGTGCCATTACTTATACCCACGCCCAATGCCATCAACGATGAGGGATACAACAGAGATAAATATCTCTTAAATCCTCAGTTACTGTCCACACAGAATTTGAACTGGTTTAAGTTTTTAGGTGAGCAAAATTATTGCAAAATGAAATTTTTAATATCATTAAATTTTTTTCAAAGATTGACTATTTTTTTTTTTTTTGGGCAGGCATATTATTTGGAGTGGCTATTAGAACCAGAAAACCTTTGGCTCTCTCCATAGCCCCATTAATATGGAAGCTGATTGTTGGAGAGCCGGTAAGCATAGAAGACTTGGAAGACACGGATTGCATGTACATCCAAAGTTTGAGGAGCATAAGAGATATACACCTTTGCGGCGTTACTGAAGAATATTTTCACGACGTTATTCCCTTAGAAACTTTCGAGGGAACGAGTTGCACGGGAAAAGTGAGTATATTTGTTAATTATTGCGGTACAAGATAAATTTCGTTAATAATCTATAAATTTTGTCATAAAATGGCAATCACAACAAAATTGATTTTAATTTCTAGAAATACGATTAAACATTTGTCTTACTACTTAGTGTGGAATTTCTCAATTTTATGATATACATACATTTACTATAAATTATTTAAAATCTTCATTTATTTTTATTTAGCGACCATGTCAAGTCTTACTATGTTGCCAAGACGGCATTGCCAACAGTGGCCACCAGCAGGAGCTTCAGTGTAACATAAAATGCAAATATCACTCCATTTTTTTTGCAGGTGGTGCCGATAATACACGGAGGACATAAAATACTCCTAACATACGAAAATCGGATGCAGTACTACGAACAGGCCATCAAATTTCGGATGCAGGAATTCGATATCCAAGTAGCAGCCATTCGCGAGGGAATGTCGGGAATAATCCCTGTTCCTCTGCTGTCTCTGGTCACGGCGGAGCATTTAGAGAAGTTAGTATGCGGTATGGCACATATTTCTATATCTGTACTGAAAAAAATCGTCAGGTAAGGAAACTATAAAATAACTGAAATTGTCTATTTCTATCTTTATAAAAAAAAAACTACAAAACAACTAATGTGCTGGTGACAACGAATGATCTTAGCTGTGTATTTTTGCTGCTGGACAGCGCTTTAGTCGGCAGAGTAGTTGTTCCCCACTCTAAAATTACCTCTTATTTTGTTTGTATTCGTTGATGATGAATTTCTGGGTGTATCTATATTTCCCAAGGAGATAAACGAAAAGTAGTTCAGAAAAACCGAACTGATTTGTTCAAATACAGGATATTTTAAAATTTTTTTGATTATAGCTTTCAGTCGTTTGCATTTTAGATATCGCGAATTAGACGAAGACCATCAACTTGTGCAGTGGTTATGGGATATACTAGAAAATTTTACCGATAATGAACGTGTTCTTTTTATGAGGTTCGTGTCTGGAAGATCGAGGTTGCCAGCTAATTTAGCCGATTTATCTCAGCGATTCCAAGTAAGATAAACTCGTACGAGTTTGGGACAATGTTTTTATATTTTATTTTATAGATAATGAAAGTGGACAAGCCGGTGAACGGATTGCCTACAGCACAAACTTGCTTCTTCCAACTTAGATTACCTTCCTACACTACTCAAGAAATAATGGCTGAGAAACTTCGATATTCCATCAACAACTGCAGGTCCATCGATATGGACAATTATATGTTGGCTAGAAACACCGATCACGGGGTCGGATCAGACGATGAATGGAATTAGAAGATATTTAAAAAGGCTGATTTTAATAAATGTAAGCAAACGGGTGTTCAGATATTTAACTGTTTGATGTTTTTTTCTTTTTTTTTCTATTAAATATGTACAATATTTGATTACTTGAAGCCATATAAATAAATATCAAATGAAGTTGACTACGTGAATATTTCCCGTAATAACTTTATTCTCGCAATTTACATTTACCTAAGCTGTCATGGGAATTTAACGGTCATCGAACGGTGAAACGTTGCTTGTCGGAAAGCAGATTTTCAGCTTTATTTTATTTTATATTCGTTTTATTTCAGTCCGACTCATCAACAGGGAAGTATCGTGCATCATAACGAAGATTTTTTAAATTTATTTAGTTTCGGTGTAAAGTCAGCTTGGAACCCTCAACGTTGAAGTATGCGCATCATAACGGAACATTTTCAACTTTATTTTGCTTCAGTATCAGTCAGAGTTGTTCAAATATTCAACGGTGAAGCATCATGCATCGTAACGAAGATTTTGTCTTTATTTTATTTCAGTATTAAGAGACACCAGGTGATCAGTTGTTGGGGCACGGCTCCAACAAATTGATCGTCGACATAATTCAATAGCAGTCCCAAAGCCTTATTTTTTTAAATAAGAATTCGACACTGCAGGTTTTATAGTGGAGCCGGGCTCAGGATTGAAACGTAGGTTTGATTTCGAGGCTATCAAACCGCGACAATAACAAAATTATTAAGGTGAATATTTTCAGAAAGAAAAATTATTCATATTCAACAAAAATAACAAGAATATATTTTTTTTTTTGTTAATTAAAGTTCAATTATGGATCAAAATATTTTCTCTGGAACGGTCCTATCCGTGTGCTGTAATGAGTTATGTGCTGTAGACCAACAGCGTAAACAAATCGTCATTGAAAGATAGAAAGATACTTCTCAATTTTGGGGAATTTTTCAATGCAAAAGTACAAACTAAGAAAAATGGATATTTTAAAAAAAAAACTGATATTTTCTTATTATAATTAATAGTAATTACTACCTTAAATGCATTGTTGTTACTGCAAGAGTTCGCAAACAAAACCTCATCCGTGAGCATCAACCCTAGAATTTCCACTCCGCTAAATATTTCGGAAATCGGATACCTTAGCTAACATATTTAAAAAGACATATATCATCCATAAATGATTGTAAAATCGCATTTTATGGCGAGGTAGACAGAAAATTAATTTATTTCCAAGAAAAGGTTGAAATAATTTATTAAAAAACAAATAACTTATTGGCATCTTTTCTATAACTGCTTATAAAAATTAAATCGCACGTATCCGTTTTACATGTACATTAAGAAAAATTTCTTAAACGAAATCGTTTAAATCAAATATCTAAATCTAAATCATCGTTAAATGTTGGCATTAACATTAACATACTTAGATCGTCCTTTAGAAAATTATTCTTACGTAACTTCTCTTGGTCTTTACTTTCAGTTAAACTGTCCTCTTTAATATTTCCTTTCATTTTTTCTTCACCGCAAATTTTATTTTTCTCGTCACAACCCCTAATTTTATTGCTCGTCGTTGACTCTTCTGGACTGCCGTTACTTTGTAAGTCTTTCTTACAGACGTCACTCTCGGATGAGGGTTTTGTCACTTTTGAATCTTCCACACCACACTCTTTATTTTCTTCTTGCGACTTGGAGTCGATTATATTACAATTTTTATTTACATTAACATCGAGTTCTTCGTTTTCTTCCATTTTTTTAACATCCTCGGTAGATTGCGAAGCACTATTTTCAACAATTGTTCTCTTTTTTTCATGATTATCTCCAGATCCACACAGATTTTGTGGTGGTGACACAGATGTGGTAACTCTATTCTCATTTCGATCCGAATTTTGGAAAAATCTCGACATACAATTTTCGGACACTCCCATTTTGTGTTTCCTCAACGAGACAATTTCCTTTTCAAAAATATCGTGTAAATCTAATTTATTAAGGACATTTTCTAATAGGCCGCAGTAATCGCTCATTGGACAGTCCGGAAACGTACTACGAGTGCTTATATTTAAATTCAAAATGGAGGAAACGTCCATTGCAGTGTCAACGAGAACCACTGCATAAATAGTGTCGATGACTTCAACTTCGCTGTGAAACATTAACCTAGCATGGCCTTGGGATATCCTAAAACAGAACAAATTAACTTGAATAAAACTTTGATTTGACCGAGACTATTTTTTAGAATTTTCAACAAAAATTTTACCTTATTAAACTCTCGAGAAGTCTGATGGTCGTTCTGGCCTTATTTCTATTGTCCAATTTTCTCTGCATTTCATAATATCGGCTTAAAATCATTTCTGCGTTCTCGGTAAGTTTGGGATTGATTTTTCTAATCGTATTAAAATAAGACTAAAAAGTAAATACACATAAGTGACAATGAGTGATGAGTAAAATATGGCAACAATAAAAACGTTACCTGTAACATATCGACAGTCCACAATTTTTTATCGGTCAGTTTAGAATAACTATTTTTTCCATTTAAAATATAATCCGCAATACAACTGTCCCATTCCTCATTGACGGTGTCTCGGAGGAGCAAAATTAAATCGAAACGACTCAATAAAGGGCTGGGTAGAGCGATATTCATGCATAAAGGGTTAGACGGGTCTAAGTTTCCTTTCGGATTGCATGCCGCCAGGATTGAACATCTGGTGTTCAGTTTACAAACAATACTAGCCTAAAAAATTAATTAATATTTCGAGGATATAAAAATATTTTAAAGTTCATGTGAATTAGGGAATCCCGCACAATTTCGTTGGTGGAACAATGCAGCGGTTTGTTCATTTAAAAATAAGAGACAGTAACGGATTTTACCGAATGCATTTACCTTTGCCACGCTAATGGTTTGCTGCTCCATAGCCTCGTGTATGCTGGCACGATCGTGTTCCTTCATCGAGTTAAACTCGTCTATGCAACAAACCCCACCGTCTGCCATTACCAGGGCTCCACCTTCCAATTGCCATTCACCATGTTCCTAAATAAATTGCTGTGAGTCTTCCTGAATTTGCCCCGATATAATTTATTGGCCAATTTTAAGAAGTATTTATTTTTTTTCTTTTGAAGAACATTTTAACTTACCATAACGGCTGCAACTGTTAAACCAGCAGCAGTAGAACCAACGCCTGTTGTTAGAACCGACCGGGGAATAATTTTTGCGACAAAGCGGAGCAGTTGGGATTTACCAGTCCCGGGATCACCTACAAGTAATAGATGTGATTCAGATCTAGTGTGTACACCGGTAAACATAGTATCTTCTGTTCGACAACCGCCTGCCAAAACTACTGCTACGGCTAATTTCACCAAATACAGCCCGTATATCTAAAACATTAAAATTGTCTATTTCAAGACGGGTATTACTAGAAAATAGTACAATTATCGTTTGTAAAATATTTTTTTATTCATAGAAACGTGATAACATGGACTTGGAAAACACCCTGTAAAGCAATTTCTACAATTTAATTAATGAGAAATAGTATAATTTACCTCTGGACAGAATGATTTCAAAATTAAATCTCTCCCAGCCAAAGGATTTTCTGAAGACTTGTTCCAAAAGGTACAGAACATTTCCTGGAGTTCCGCTACAGGCATCGTTGAATTTGAATTACTATCAACCTGGACATTATTGGCTTTTAAAACAATATCAATGTCAATTTTACATCCTTTGGAAAATTCACCCCACCTTCTTTTCACGATTCCGCTAATAATCAACAATAATTATAAAAAAATATTTCTAACAAGTCAACGTTCATACTCACCAAATGGTAACATCATCACCAGGTTTACAGCTGTCTACCAAATCATCTTCTAAAGTGACCCACATAGTGTTCGGCATAGAGCCGACACCGAGTTTTTTAATTTGTTCTTGTATTTTAATTTGTTGGAAGTCTTTACAGTATCCGCTGTCTAAATCACCAACTTGTACAAAGTTTGTACCAAGACAAGTTTCGGGGTTACCACATTTTTTCGGTTGTTTTATAATGTACTTTCTTTCATATTCCGCAGTTGCTAATGTGGGGTATTTACATTTAACACAGATGTAGCTTCTTTTGTACTGCAGAAGTTTTATAGGTGTGATACTCATCACAGTACCTTAAACGATGATTTATTATATAAATTTACTAATTTAACACAATGTTAATAAATAATTAAAAACTTTGAATGGCGTTGACAATTTTTTCAAGTTACAAACATATGTTTTCTAAAACGAATCCCTAAAAGCTCGTTTTGTAAAAAAATATATATGCTATTTTGTATGCAAATATAATCGTTAGAGCTTGACATTTGCTTGCAAAGTCAGCAGCATCAGTTTTGACGATTGTGTTGTTTTTAATTTTTATAAATAAGACTGAATTTTAATTTATTTCAATTATATCAAATCTTTTCCCGAGTACACATTTGCTTTTTAGGCAAGCTTAAAGTGCCCTGAAACGAAATGTTTGAGCATAGTTCAATATTTACCACAAACTTGTACGAATTTTCCTGCATCTTGATTATCGGGAAAAAATACTCTGCACACATCTGGTAGGCCAGGCATGTGGTAAATGCGACAGTGAACATTCTTTTTTAAGTTAAATTTGTCATCGTTTTTTTTCAAGAGTTTCAACTGTACTTTTAATGCAGCTTGATCCCATGCCTCCAAACATTTGTCTGGTTTTCTGAGTAGCTCTACTGCTAATTCCGGTCGGTGTTCATGTAACACTATAAAACTAAAAAAATAAAAATATTTAGGATATTCAGTCAAATTACTTCATTAGTATCTTTCTATTTTTTGAGAATAAATACATTTATTAACAGAAACTTTAGAATTTGAATCATAACCTACGTATTATTCTAGTGTACGCTTAAGAGTGACAGCAAAGCGATCTTTATGGCAATTTTGTTTATTATTCATATTTGAATGCAGTACCCTGATGCCGGCTTCATAAAATTTAAAAGTAATTTTGTTTCGGCTGAAGAAGTTTGATTGCATTTCTCGGGTTAATACGTTTGGTTCATTAATATTAAAAATTTTGTACAATGAGTAATGTCACTTTCACAACTTTACTTACTTGATGTTAATAGCATAATGATTTAAAATATTTTCATCTTGGAGGATGTGAACAATATCACCTTCATGAAAAGAGAGTAAATAATCCTGCTGCATTTTCAACGTAAATAAGTTAGGGTATGGTAATTAACAATTTTGTTTATTAGTACAGAGCCTAGATTTCCATTAAGTTATTTGTACCACGAATATCAAATATAACAATTTTCTGTTTGAAAATGTTGGTTGAAGTTTGAATCACAGAAGGATCACAGACTATGGTTTGAATCATTTGGTTGGGGATGTCGGTATTAGCCGTTTTCTTTTGCTCAGCTTTGAATCGGGATCAGACAAACATGAACTAGATTAGATCCATGAATCCAATTTCGAAAAGAACAGGATTTTATTTACTGTTGACATTTGATTTGATTTTAATATCGTTTAGGTGTACCCTATTCTTCTATGTGTAATTAAAATAAAAATAGTAAATTCCCTTCAAGGAAAAAAACGAAACCACCATAATTTTAAGGTTATATTAAATATGTGATCGTGATCAAAAGTTCGAATCACAGAAAAAAATTGATTCATAGGAGAAAAGGGATTACCGATCCTGATCATATCTGACATGATCCGGAAACAAGAAAACAACTACGATCATGATTTTGGGATCATAACGCGTTTAGATCCGAAAGCGGCAACCGAAAGAAAGCAGCTAATATTGTAAGTCACTGTCAAAGTCAAATCAAATTATTTTATTCAGTGGTATCAGTGGCTATATTCAAGAAACAATTGGAAACCGAGAGAAACACGGAAGTATAAAAAAGTTTATGGGTTTTCAAAATCTTCAAGTAGTTCTTTTTAATATTGTACGCCAAAAGCCTAATATAAATTTAACTTATTAAAGACCAGTGGCACAAAATAATAAACATTATAAAACATTTTCAAAATGTTAATTTTACATAAGCTGCTTCCCTTTTGCAGGCAACTGAGTACATATTACGCGTGAGGTGAGTGTACTCACATCAGTTGTTTCAGTTGTGATTCATCTTGTAAAAGGAACGATCATATGAGTTAAAAGTAAATTAACCATATATAAACTTAAATGCGAAATATTATTATTGAAAAGACGTTATAAATCATAATACTTACTTATTATTTGCAACTTTTAGCTTTTAAAAACAAACCTAACCGTGCCTAACCACACTTTAAATAACTGAGCACAAAATGAGCCAAGTGCCATTATTCTATGGCTAGTAATTGACCTCAATGATTTGGGATCGAGGGGGATTATCCCTCTTTATCCTGCCTCATCTCGTGTAGGCCTGGACAGCCTTCGTAGGTGGGCCCCATCCGTCGTCTACCCCGACCGCAAATGCGGCCGGTGTAGGCGCTTTGTGGGACCTCCTTTTGTCCTGGCTGGGCCCCGCCGGCTAGGGCCCTTTCTTCTGGCGCTCTTCTTGCTTCGCCGGCTCGTCTGTGTAAACCCCGGGGGTAGTGTCATGTTTATGTGTGGTATGGTTGGGTAGGGTAGTGCGGCTATGCAGCCTGGGATGCGCTTTGCTAAGGTGGCCCTTAGGCTAGCGCGGGAGGGGAGGGTTAAGGAGGGTATGGGGGGTGTATGTGTGTGTGTGTGTGTCGTTGTCTTCGTTTCTTGATCCTGGCTGTCTCTGAAACAGAAAAGGTTAGCGGGCAGGGGGGGGGGGGCATTGGGGTGGTCACCCAGGGTCAAAAAGTTGGTGTCTAGGTCTTTTGTGTTTGTCGGTCACGTCGGGTCCCCTGAGGAGGGGATTGTCATGTCTAGCGGCTACGTCAAATCGTTTCTCCGCGTTTTGTCTTATTGTCTGTGTAGCGTTTGTGTATTGTAAGTCTCGTAATATGTCAGTGTTTCTTACGTACCAGGGCGCGTCGGTGGCCGTGCGGAGGGCTATGTTTTCCACAGCCTGTAATGACTTTAAGTGGCTTTTTGCCGCGTGACCCCACGCCGTGGAGGCGTAGGTTAGCTGCGGTTGAAGTACCACCTTGATAAGCGTTCGCTTATTCCTTAAACTGAGGGTGTTTCCACCTTTGAGTAAGGGATAGAGCCTAGCCCTGGTGGTCTTCGCTCGCGCCACCGTCTCCACGATGTGCGATTTCCACGTGAGACGCTGGTCCATCGTCACGCCCAGGTATCGTGTTTGTCGATTCCAGGAGATAGGTTCCTGGGATAGTGTCAGTCTGTCGAGGTTTTGTGGGATTTTTCGTTTGGTAAAAAGGATAGCCGAACTTTTGTTGGGATTAATTTTGACTTTCCACCTGTTGCACCAGGTTTCAAGTTGGTCTAAGGAGTTTTGGAGGAGGGAGACGGAATATCTAGGATCTACGGATTGGGATGTGATTGTCAGGTCGTCGGCGTATATGTTGGTGTTGGGGGAATGAGCCAAGTGAACAAGCTCTCAAACTAATGCAGATAGCAGTAAGTGGGGGTAAAAATTCTCAGTTCAAACTCACTTCGGAAAATTAAAAGAAACACAATTAACTGAGTCATGACGTCACATGTGATATTAATGTGATTTTTCTTGCAAAAGGGAAGCAGTTATAGTGTTTATGTGTATTATCAATCATACTACATACATCCACAGAACACCCTGTGGTCTTCTGTGCATACATTGAATGGAATGGTTTCAAATTTTTATGAACTGCCCATCTATCGGCTAGATACTGCACTGAACTGCGTGAGAATTCTTTAGCAGATAGCCAACTGCAACATGCATTCATTGGACAGTTAGTTGAGCTCTTTATGCATAGATGGCGTCGAATGCTAATCCTATTTAAATTCTGTAGAATATCAACATATTAAATAAAACTAAGAAAAAGTTGAAAAAATGAAATCCTAAGTCAGTTTTTCCTATTTAAATTATTTAGAATAAATATACGTCGAATAAAATTCAGCAAAACATTAAAAAAATTGAAGCCCTAATCAGTTTTTATTGTTAAAATTTCAAAATTTTAATAACTTCAATTTTCAGATAAACAGTTCGATTTCGTGACATACTAGCTGTATTTGTTTTACACACTAGGTCACTTTGGTTAATTCACTTTCAGTAGAGTTCTGACCAAGTTCGTTTTTTTTAATGTGAACAACAAAATATGACCGCGCGCGCCATTATTCTATGGCTAGAAATTGGCCTCAATGATTTGGGATCGAGGGGGATTATCCCTCTTTATCCTGCCTCATCTCGTGTAGGCCTGGACAGCCTTCGTAGGTGGGCCCCATCCGTCGTCTACCCCGACCGCAAATGCGGCCGGTGTAGGCGCTTTGTGGGACCTCCTTTTGTCCTGGCTGGGCCCCGCCGGCTAGGGCCCTTTCTTCTGGCGCTCTTCTTGCTTCGCCGGCTCGTCTGTGTAAACCCCGGGGGTAGTGTCATGTTTATGTGTGGTATGGTTGGGTAGGGTAGTGCGGCTATGCAGCCTGGGATGCGCTTTGCTAAGG